GTTGTTAAGGGAAGAAAAGCAGGTAGGCAGTGCTGGGGAGAGGAGGTGTTGGAGCATCTGGGCTGGAGAGGGGAACCAATTCATATTGCTGGAGAACCCCATAATTATTTACTATGAGCCTTTACTACTTTTATAATTAAAAGAAAACAAGCAATAAAACTATTTTCATTTTGAAAACATAACCTCACAGACTCAGAACCTCTAGCTGGAAAGTGGTCGTCTGCATGAGGCCGCTGAGGATTTCCCTGGACAGGAGTGATCTCCCCACTTGGGAGCAGGCCCAGAATTTCTTCTCCCTCCCAGCCCTTCTCCCTGCCAAGAAGCAAGGGTGGGGGTTGGGTAGCAAAAGGGCCTAGTGGAGTCGGACAAACCTGGCCTTTGCTGCTAAAACAAAGTTTCAAAGCCACTGGCCAACATGACCTTCACATTCATTCATTCATTTATTCATTTGACAAATATTTATTGAGGCGCCCCTAGACTAAGTGAGGAGGACACAGCAGTGAGTGAAATAGACAAAAATCCTTTCTCTCATGGAGCTGCCAGTTTAGTGAAGGCAGACAGATAATAAGCAAGCTAGATACTATGACGAGTCTACGGGATGGTGTGAATCACTATGGAGAAAAAGAAAACAACAAATGAGAAGGATGAATGTGGTGGCAGGGTGGAGGTGCAATGCAAAATAGAGTGGTCAGGGGAGGCCTTCCTGAACAAGTGAAATGGAAAAAAAACCCTGAAGCAGGTGGAGAAAGCCATGTGGAGAATTGGAGGAAGAGTACTTCAAGCAGAGGGAATAACCAAGTGCAATGGCCTTGAGGCAGGAGGGGTGTGGGTGTGTTAAAGCAGGAAAAAGAGGCTCAGCAGGCTGCAGAGGGAATAGTGAAGGGGAGAGGAGGCATAGATGAATTTGAAGAGGAAATAAGTGTGAAAGGAGTTGGGACTTGGCAAGCCATGGCTTTGGTGTTTACCCTGAGTGCCATGCGGGGCCAAGGCAGGGTTTTGAGCAAGAGAAGTGACAAGGGCTAAACCTAAGTAGGTTTTAGCAGGATCACTTTGGCTGGTGTCATGAAAACAGTGAAGTGGGAAGGGCCAAAGAGGGAAGCAGGGAACCACATAGGAGGCTAAGACAGTAATCCAGGTGAGAGGCTGTTGTGCCTAAACCTAGAGTGGCAGTGAACGTGGAGAGAGCTAATTGCTACCATAGTTGCTTTCTATTCTATTCTTTATGCTCTAGTCTGCTTTATTTCTATTCCCCACCAACTCCACAATGAGCTGTAGCAACCACTGTTCCGTAGTAAAAAAAAAAAAAAAAAAAAAAAAAATACAGCATGTTCCAATATAGAAGACTGTTATGGGTATTTTACAAGTATTTTACCACTGTCCTCCATGGGCTCCCTTAGAGGAAGGAGTGGAGAGAGGCAAGACAGCTGGGTGAGGGAAATACAGGGCAGAAATAGAGAATTCCCAGAAGTGCAATTGCTGGGTCATTTGGTCTCCCTGCTGGAAAACGCCTGATACTATTGTCCAAATGTGGGAGGACCTGAATTCTGCAGGGATTGGAGTGACTCTCTGCCCTGTATTTCCCTCACCCAGCTGTCTTGCCTCTCTCCACTCCTTCCTCTAAGGGAGCCCATGGAGGACAGTGGTAAAATACTCATAAGACACTTATCAGGGATGGATTTTTGTATAGCAGGGACTGTTCTAGACACTTTCCACATATCAACTTATTTATTCCTCATAACAGTCTTAACAGTCACCCCAACATAACAGCTTCACCCCAACCTGCTGCCAGGTCCCTGCCTGCTCTTCCATTCTAGGCTTAAACTGTCACTTCCGTGAAGGCAGGGACTTTGCCTGTTTGGTTTACCTCTGTACCTCCAGTGCCCACAATAGTGTCTGATGATTACTTGGCACTGAATGAATGAATGGAGGATGGATGAATGAATGAATGGTGCAGTGGAAGTCTAAAGGGGGAGCAAGGGATTAAGCCTGATGGTGGAAGGAGAAGGGTGGGGATGGGTGGACACATCGGATTTGCCTATTCAGCCAAAGCCCTGGAGAGCAATTCTTAGCTTCAGAACATACACACAGGCACAGGTGGGCCCTTCCTGTCTCAGCCCGGCTGACTCAATGTGGGTGTGAATATAAGTCATCTCATTGTTTATTCACAGGAAAAGAGATCCCACTTGGGCAGGATCACTTCCATCTTAGGAGAAGGGAAGCAACGGTAGGGAAATGGAAAGGGTCAGTGGTGCCGATTGAGGGACACTAATTGGGAAATGAGGGAGTCCAATGCTTGAGCCCATCTCAGTTCTGAAAAACCAGAAGCAATATTTTTCTCACTCTGCCCTCCTGACACAATCCAGTTACCTCCCCCAGAAGGTTCATTCTCATTCAGCAACATGTTTTCCCAGTCTCTTTGTCCTCCCTCCTGCTGATTCTTCCGAAAGCCTCCCCACCGGCCTTCACCTGCATCTCTGTAGTCTGCTACAGAAACCTCACTTTCCTTTTAACTCAAGAAGAGGGTACATGGGCTGACTCAGTCAGATCACGGCTACACCATTTCCTTTCTATATTATCCATGGGTATGCCATGAACTATTATTAATGTGATCTTGAGCAGGTCTTACAAAGACCTATCAAGTATATTGCCAATAAGATGGGCAAGAAACTACTTCACTCCACTGTTTTGTTTTGGGTTTTCCTGATCATTGGTTATTCAGGACTTCTGGTTATACATGGCAGACTGAACAAGTGTATTTAGTGCTGTTCCCTCCCCAAGTACCACTGAAATGATGTTAAAGAAATTTAGCAAAGGGATTAGATTAAATAACTCAGATAACAGGATGGGAGACAACTGCAACAAAATGCTGGAAACTGGAAAGTAGATGGAAGAGGACTGGAGGAAGGGGAAACCCACATTGGCAGTGAAGGAAGCAGACCTATTTACTCCACATGCCTCAGAAATGCCCAGGGTTAGGGCTCACCAGATACCTCTGGAAGTGACAGCGTATCTGGGCAGAAGGCAAGTAGACTAGTTGAAAGTCTATGTGAAAAAAATTAGACTGTCATATCTTTTTCCATATTAGCAGAACACCAGAGAGGCTAGATGTGAAGGCACGAGATATGTTCAGGACATCACTGGAGCAGGAGAATAAAGTGATAATCTACATTCTAGACAGCAAGCCTCTCTGTCTCCTCTTTCCTCAATCAGCTCCAAGAACACATGTAGCCATGACACTATTACCTCCCTTCCCTTGCAGGATATTGGAAGCTTATTCTCTGGAGAATCTGATATTTGGGTGTCCCCTATAAAGTCCATAAAACACACTCTACTGTGACCTTAAAAAAAGCTAAATTCTTCACATAGAATTCCAATAAGATTTTTAGTTCCTCACTCTAAGAAATGAGCAGACAGCCAAGGATTACCGGACATTTGAGGAAGGAGGAAGTCCTTTAATGTGGAAGATAAAAACCAACGCAACCAGAAAAATTAATCCAGAGGAAATAGATGAAAAGTGGGGAGTAACAGAAACCCAAACACAAACAACCACAACATCTTATTAACTTGCAACAACAAAGGGCAGTCTTTTGCTCATGTCATAAATTATCTGCACGTCGACTACAGTTCTGCTATATGGTTGTCTTCATGTTAGGACACAAGCTGAAGGAACAGCTTCTGTCTGAGGTATCATCAGGCTCATAGTAGAGTGGAGAGCAAGATGTGGAATCACACAACTCTCAAAGCTTAGTACACTTGGCAAAAAGATCCTAAAATATTCCAGAAAGAAAAAAAAAAACAGGTGCACACAAAGCCTCAGGAATGAAAACAGCATCTGACTTTTTGACCACCCACTAGAGGCTAAAGATACATAGATCAATGTTTTTAATTTTTTTAGGGGAAATGATTTCCAACTTAGAATTTTATATTCAAGCTAACAATCAAGTATGAGGATAAAGGAAAGATATGTTCAGACTAAACAGTTGTCAAAATACATGCTTCTCATGGACTCCTTCTCTAGAAGCTACTGGAAGATCCAATCCATTAAAATGAAGAGTAAGCCAAGAAAAGAGGTAGATAGAAAACCCAGGAAACAGGGAATCTACCATAAGAGAAAGGTGGAGCTGTCCCCCAGGATAATAGCAAAGGAGAAGTCCACAGACAATAGACAGCCAAGTAGCAATCCTAGAGCCCAAGCAGGCCAGCTGGAACAGGATCATGGAGGATTCCAGGAGAGATGGTTCCAAGAAAAAGATGTTTGAACATATTGAGATGAGATTTACTCTCTGGCAAACAGTTTGGAGATGAATTACTTATAAGTACACAGAAAACAAAGCAAACACACACACAAAATGAAGACAATTATTAACTCTGGGGAACACAGAAAGTATCCAGGAAAGAACATGTAACCATAGGACATCTCAGGGCTCATAGTGACAGTAATGTAAGCACTGAATATTGATAGACTACATCAGGACCATGGGAAGAAGGGAAGTGCTTGTATGTATTCAGGTGGATGATAAGGGAGCTACATTCTTGTCTTCTAGAATGGGAAGTCAGATAATATCTGAAACTGAAGAATCAAGGCATATCAATACAGAATTTAGAAATATACAGGAAAAGATTTTTCAGCTAAAAAGGATGGAAATATTTGGCTGTAATGGTTTGGAATTGGGTGTAGAAGGTGGTAAGGCAGAAACAAACTACATACATTGATGAAAAATACTTTTTAATATTTTATTTTCCTAATTAATTGTGAGGCTGAATACCTTTCAACGTGTTTATTGAGAATATTTGTAATTCCTCTTCTGTAAATTCCCTGTTGATACCTTTTGCCTATTTTTCTTTTGGGTGGTTTGCCTCATTTCTAGGAGTCCACTATAAATTGATTCATAGATTAATTCATTCAACAACTGTTTATTGAGTACCTATTGTATGCCAGGCACTGCTCAAGGTGCTAGGGATACAGCAGGGCACAAGACAGACCAAGTCCTTTCTCTTCCAGAGCACCCATCCTGGTGGGGCCAGACAAAGAAATGGTGAAGAAATGCACAGATACACTACTTGCTGGTAACAGTCAGTGCTCTGAGGAAAAGGGAAGAGGATAACAGGATGGATTCTGAGAGATGGTGAGTGGCTGCCTTGGATTGGTCAGTTTGGGAAGGCCTCTCTGAAGAGATGAAATTGGAGTCATTCAGCCCTCAAGAGGATTTGGGGACAGATGTAGTATTTCAGACACTAGGAATAGCAACTGTACATGTGCTAATGTAAAAATAAAATAAAACAAACAAAAAAACAGGAGGGGTGGTGGAAAAACAGAAGGAAGGCCACCGTGGAGAAAAGTTGCCAATCATTTCTCCCAATCTGTCACTTATGTTTTAACTTTATTTGTGCTGCCTATTGTCATAGAAACGTTTCATAATTTTGATGCCATCAAATGTATCAGTCTTTTCATTTAGAGCTTTTGCTTTCTGTAGTTTCTTTAAAAGGGGGTTTTCCCCACATCAATATTGTTACCATGCTTTTCAGTATTTTATCCTCGCACCATATTTTGTATTTTATGCTTCATGCTTTTAATTTTTTATAATTTCATCTTTAAATGGTGTGAAGAAAGGATTTAAATTTTTTCCCAAATGGATAGCCAATTGCCTCAATACCATTTATTGAATAGACCATTCTTTCCCTACCGATTTGAAAAGCCGCCTTCATCAAATAGCAAATTACCACATACACATGGATGTGTTTCTGGTCTCTATTCAGTTCCATTGTCCTATATCTCTACCCCTGTGCTAGGTCTGATTATTAGGCCAGTAATCCTGCCTCAAGCCAAATTGGCTATTTGGGGCCCTTGTCCATTCTGATTGGTCCGAGTTTATGCCATACCCATTGTTATTTGTTTTAAATAGAGCTTAACCACACAGTTTTATTCCTAGAAATGTATAAAATATTTTGATGTATGGTAAATTCAAGTCTCCCTTTTCATTGTTCTTCCCTTTCAAAATTGTCTTAGCTATTCTTGCACATTTTCTCTCACACGTGAATTTTCTAATCAATTTGTCAAGTTCTGTGAAAACTCCTGCTGGGAATTTGACTGTGATTAAATTAAATTTATGGATTAGCTTGGGAAAAAACCTGATACCTTTACGATATTGAGTTTTCCCATCCAGAAACATGCATATTTCTCTATTTATTTAGATCTCTTTCAATGTTCTTCACTAAAATTTTATAGTATTCTTTTTTTATGTCTGGCATACTTCTTGTTTGGTTTTTCTTTAGGTATTCTGTAGTCTTGTTGTTTTTGTGAAAGGATCCCATCTATCTATTTTATTTTTGAATTGCTCATTGCCAGTTTCTATTGATTTATTTTAAAACAAACTTTTATTTTGGTATAGTTTTAGATTTATAGAAAAATTCCATAAATAGAGTACAGAGAGTTCCCGCATAATCCACACCTTATTTTCATATTATTAACAACTTATGTTACTATGATACATTTGCTATAATTAATAAACCAATATCAATATATGACTTATTAATAACTAAAGTCCATAGTTTATTCATATTTCCTCAGTTTGTTTGTACCTCGTGTCTTTTTTTGTTGTTGCAACATTTCACATTACATTTAGTTGTCATGTCTCCTTAGGCTTCTCATGACTGCGACATTTTTTCAGACTGTCCTTGTTTTTGATGACCAGGACAGTCTTGATGAGTACTGCTCAGGTATTTTGTAGAATTTTGTGGAATTTGTCTAATTTTTTTATCATGATTAGACTGGAGTTAGGGGTTTGGGGGAGGAAGCTCACAGAGATAAATTGCCATCTTCATCATGTCATATGAAGAGAACATACAATCAACATGACTTGTCACCATTGATGTTATTGTAATCACCTAGCTGAGGTGGAGTTTTTCAGGTGTTTCCAGTGTAAAGTCATTTTTTCCCCCTTTTCATAGTGTACTCTTCCGAAAGAATTACTCCGGCTAGTCCACACTCAGTGAGTAGAGAGTTATGCTCTAACTTCTTGAAGGCAGAATATCTACATAAATAATTTCAAATTCTTGCACATATGGGAGACTTGTCTCTTCTCCTCCATGTGTTAATTTATTCAGTCATTTATTTACATCAGCACAGACTCATGGATATTTGTTTCCATACTGTGGATTATAATACAATACTAGTTTATTTGTTTTGTTGCTCACAGTTCTAGCTTTGGCCAATGAGAGCTCTTTTAGTTAGTTCCTGTGCTCCTTTAATGTACCCCAACAATGTGTGGTTTATTGTTTGTTTTTGTTTTTCGAGCACGTCCTTACCTTCTCATACTACAAAATCTTCCAGGCCTATCATGTATAGTTCCTGCCCCAGTCCTAAAATCAGCCATTTCTTCAAATAGCCCTGGTTCCTTTTACTGAAGGATGATATTAGAAACCAAGATCTGGGTGTGAGCTGTGCTCATTACTACTAGGGTGTTATTGCTTCCAGGCCCTCTCAGTTGACAGAGCAAGGAAATATGTGTGTATACTAATCCATGCATACATTATATACATATGTTGACAAAGATTTCTATGAATAACCATCTATATCTATATTAAACTAAACATGAGTTTGTACTAATGCCTCCAATTCTAATCCGTTATATGAATGATTCTAGTTTCCTCCTTTTGCTTATCTATAAACTCTCACTCCAACAGTGAGAAACCAGGTTCCCACCATCCACCATCCATTTACTTTAACTGTTCAATTCCAGTGTAGATGTATAGTGGCATAAGAATTATTAACCCATACCCCTATGGGAAACAGTTTCAACTAGAGCACAGTACTTATGTAGAGTTTATTTTATCTTTACTCTTACAGACTACTGATTTCCAAAGTTACTTAAGTCAATACCTTTTCTCCTCACCACCCTTCAGTGAGATTGTTTCATACATTTATAATACAGTTAGATTATTTCATCACATTCTCCATTTTATCCTGGGATCCTTAATCTCCTAAATGATTTTCAAAATTTGCATACATTTAGGTTCCCTCTTTGTGCTGTAAAGTTCTATGGGTTTTGAAAAATACGGTGGTATGTATCTACCACTACAGTATCATACAGAATTGTTTCACCGCCTAAACATCCCCTGTGCTTCACCTAGTTATCTCTTACTCCTCTGCCTGCAAGCCCTTAGCAACCACTGATCTTTTTACTATATGATCATCACTATATCCTTGCCTTTTCCAGAATGTCATACAATTGAATTTATACAGTATGTAGCCTTTTCAAAATGGCTTCTTTCATGTAGCAATATGCATTTAAGATTTGTTCATGTCTTTCTGTGGCTTGATACTGCATTTCTTTTTAGCACTGAATAATATTCCACTGTATGGATGTACCACAATTTGTTTCACTCATTCACCTGTTGAGAAATAGGTGAATCTTCATTGCTTCTTGTTTGGAGCAATTATTAATAAAGCTGCTATAATATCTGTGTACAAGTTTTCATGTGGGCACAAGTATTCAAACAGTTGAGTAAATACCTAGGAATGCAATTGTTGGATTGTATGTTAAGACAATGTTTAGCTTTGTAAGAAACTGTCAATTGTCTCCTGAAGTAGCTCTACCATTTTGCATTCCCACTAGCAATAAATGAGAGTTTCCACTGTTCCACATCCTCACCAGCCATTAGTATTGCCAGTTTTTGTGTCTTAGTCATTCTAATAGGTGTGTAGCATTGTTTAAATTTGTAATCCCTAGTGAAAACTGATGCTGAACATCTGTTCATGTTTGTTTGCCATTTGCACATCTTCTTTAATGTGGTATCTTTTCAATTCTTTTCCCCATTTTTAATTGGGTTGTTTTTTTATTTTGAAATTTAAATATTCTTTTTATATTTTGGATATGTCCTTTATCAGATATGTGTTTTTTGAACATTTTCTCCCAATATGAGACTTATCTTTAGATTCTCTTAACAGTGTCTTTCACAGAGTAGATGTTTTCAATTTTAATAAAGCATAAATTATCCATTTTTTTCTTTCATAATTGTGCATTTGGTGTTGTATCTAAAACCTCACTACAAACTGAAGATCACCTTGATTTCCTCACATGTTTTCTTCTAAAAGTTTTATAGTTTTGTGTTTTACATTTATGCCCATGACTTATATTGAGTTAATTTTTGTGAAAGGCGTAAGGTCTGTGTTTAGCTTTTAGGGCTATTTTTGTTTTGGTTTAGTTTGAAATTTTTGTTTTTGTTATTTTGCTTCTGGGCATACAATTTTCTAGCACCGTTTATTGAAAAAACTATAATCTTTCTATTGAATTGTTTTTGCTCCCTTATCAAAGATCAGTTGACTATATTTGCAAGGGTCTATTTCTGGGCTCCTAATTCTGTTCTATTGGTCTGTGTGTCTATTCTTTCACCAATACTACACTGTCTTGATTACTGTAGTTTTATAATCAGTCATGAAACTGGATCATGTGGATCCTGCAAATTTATTCTTCTTTGGTATTGTGTTGATTATTGTAAATCTTTTGCTTTTTCATAAAAACTGTAGGAACAACTTGTCTATACAAAATACCTTGCTGGGATTTTCATTAAGATCGTGTTAAATCTACAGATCAAGTTTGGAAGAATTGAGATCTTAACACTATTGAGCCTTCCATTCAATGAACACAGCATACTTTCCAAGTCTTTTAGATCTTTGATTTCTTTCATCAGTTTTGTGGTTTTTCACATATAGATCCTATACATATTTTATTAGGTTTATACCTAAGTATTTCCATTTTTATTGCATTGTAAATGATATATTTCATTTTAAATTATAATTGTTTGTTGTTAGTACATAAGAAAGCAATTCAAATGTGTATATTAACCTTGTATCCTATAAGCTGGCTGTATTTCCTAATTTCAGGAGGGCTTTTTGGGGGGGGTCAATTATTTGGGAATTTTTACATAGACAATCATGTCCTGTGTGAACAAAGACAGTTTTATTTATTCCTTCCCAATCTTTATACTTCCTATTTCTTTTTTATGTCATTGCACTAGCTAAGACTTGCAGTATGATGTCCAATAAGAGTAGTGAGAAAGAACACCCTTGCCTTCTTCCCAATCTTAGTGGGAAAGCAACTAGTTTCTCACCATTAAATATAATGTT